ATTAAAATATTCTATCAAATAAATAAAATTTGTTCAAGGAATAGTTATAGAGGGTACTCAAGGACGCGTTTCTGTTCTAGGTACTCTTTCTTACTCGATTATTTCATAGAAGTCCCAAGCGCTGATATTAGTCTCCACCTGTCTTCTCTATAAAGTCATTTTTCAAATGTCTTACAATTGGCATGCCCTGTTTATTTTTAAATCATGACAATTAATATACTTCTCTTCAATGGTTTGGTTCCATGACCATTAAAAAATATGTGAGCATTCATTCTAATTTTCATTTTCTCAAATATTTACATTCTGATGCTCAGCCGTGTGTCTCTAAAATTTCACGTAACAAAATTGCAACATCAGTGACGTCATGGATGACGTTAAAAATAGAGACGTGAGCACAGCAAATACGCGACCATAGGCGTACACAATGGCTTTTAGTGAATGGTATATTATAAAACAAAACACTGTGGTAAATGAAAATGCTAAAACATCACAAGAGCCGATTTTGATAAGCGCTCTGAGGAAAAAAGGTTTGCCTTCGAAAACGTGGCCTACTCAACAAAACTATCAGGCTGTTGATGAATTATGAACAGCATCACTGTAATGCTTGCCGTATACGGTCATGATGGGTAGCGTTGACCTTGTATACAAAAGCTTATTTTTTACTTCTTGTTTAAGCATCGGGTAAGTTTCAATGCACCTGTCATCCCCTATTGCCATGGCGAAAATGTCAGCAATGGGCTTTTAACCGAACATCAAACCTAGTTTTCTTCAGTAGTCTGAACACATTTAGGTAGATTTTTGGAATTATTTTCCTGGTCAGTAACACCTAAATAGGTACCTAACAAGCATCAATTCGATTCTAGCATTCAGGTTTACATGCAAAGCGCCGTCACCTACGAAACTATGAATCGGATTAAGTGAAGTAGAAATATGTTGGAGGGAAAACTGGTCTGTGCAGAATGGATGTGTAGTCTGCGTAAATAAAACCTTTTCCAATTTTGACCTAACAAACGAGCTTGAAAATCGTTTCAAAATAAGCAGATCTTAAAATAATATTCGAAGTCTTGTAGAGCAAGGGCTTAACTTCAGCAAATACGAACATAATTTTTAACCGAGCATACCCTTTTTTAGGGTTTTCAGATATGATATCGCTAATAACTCGAAATCGGACAAGTTTAAAGATAAGCTACTTACAGGCCTTTTTTGTTCAAAATGATTTAAAAAACGTGGAAAAATGTGTATCGGCGAAAAATCTTAATGTACGAAAAAAATTGTGTAAGCTTACTCCAGGCTATGGAACGGCTATACCTTGTTTAGTACATAGCCGTTGTCGAATCTCCCTTAACACTAAGTTAGGGGACATTCATCAAACCTAAATCGGAAAACGTCTCTCGCGAATGCGAGGTTTTCGCATCATGTAATCTTTTCGAAAATGATGACTGGGTGTGTTGGAAGTCAATAGTAAATCAGCTTGGAACAAGCAATTGTAGCTGACGAACAAATCTCGTACATTTTCCTTAACATTTCTTTTGAAGCTACAATTTACCAAACCAGTTTGGTGGTACATTTAAGCTCGCCTGCACAATTTGGCAGCGTCGCTAAAATACTTTTTTCCGAACAGAGGTGAGTTTTCTTTAAGTTGCACTGTTTTCGAGTTATGAACGATTTAATGCCTGGAAAACCCTACAAATGGGTATATTCAATGCTTTAAATTCGGTAGAAAGTTATAGTTTTTCAGATCGCCAAGTACCCGAATTGAAGTTAAAACCTTCTTCGGAGAGTGTCTTAAGGTTAGTCCATTTTGAAGCGAATATTAAACTCTTTTTTAGACTAAAGTTGTCAAACTTTTTAATTTTCGCAAACTGTACCTGTCAAATATTTCCAGCTCACCAGCACATTGCTTGGTTTGCATTTGGATCGTATGTTTTATCAACAGTTCATAAAAGAATAATCCTCGAACATTAGAATAGCCTTTGTTTTCCCCAATAAATATTTAAAAATACCTTGGTGTGTATTTATAATCTCTGTGTGTCTTTCAATTTACTGAATGATTACTACATGCTGCTAACGGTAGCCGGCGAACCCACAAGTGTTGCGAATTTTTTCAACGGGAAGCTCAAGTGTCCTCTTTGTAGTTTTGACATTGATTGATTGTTCACTATTTCTCCTTGCTGATTGATTGAGAGATGATTGAATATGAAATTCGCTCCAAAAAGAATCCAGATCACTTTTTTCTACTTGAAATACTAGGAAGGTTGTGTATTTGACGTCGTACAGATAGGAGAGGAAAGAGATTCGATAAACCTATTTACAGCAGGCCAAATCATCAAGGATAAAAAAGCTCTATAGATGTCGGAAATCAAGCGTCGATGGAATGGATCCAACCAAATTTGTCTTTTTGATAGCTGGAATATATTTTGTTATGTGTTGCTAGTCTGCTTGTTGCAACTGTCACTCAAATTTCTTGAAAAAGTTTATTGATAACCGATATGTTAAGCTCCGCTAAATAAATCAAACCTAAATAAAGCCTAATCCGATCCTGCACTACTCAATCCAGGCGCTGGCTACGTTGGTAAGCGAAACCTTTGCACATCGGTTCTAAGAAAAATGGTAGACTCATGCAGCAATACTATTTTATTTTACGGTGAGTGTCTTAGAAACGCTACCGAGGCTTCGCGAGTATATGCAGATCGCTTTGCAAGATCCTTCTTGATTTCTTTTTTTGTTTGGAAGAAATGAAGTGTTGAGTGTATAAAACTGAGATGATCACGGTTGACGAGCTATGTATACCAAATTTTATCCAGATCCGCTCAGCCACTTTGGCGTGATTGAGCAACAAACATCCACAGTTTCTCATTCATAATATACAGGGTGCCCTCAAAGTTGCGACCTTACTTAACACGACGTATGCATCTTGGAAAAATGAAAACTTTCTTTAGTAACATATACACCAAAGTCTTAAGATTACCGAGATGGCATCAGTACTCAATCAAGGCGCTGACCTCGACAGTAAACAAAACCTTTTCACATGAGTTCTGAAAAACAAAACAAAGAGGGCACACTCATGTAGCAATATCGGAGTTGTCCATATTATTTTAATTTACGGTGAGTGTCTTCGAACTGTTACTGAGGCTTAGCAAGTGCATGCAGATCGTTTTTCACGATCCTTCGTGATTTCTGTTTTTTGGTGTGGAGCGAAATGAAATGCTAGTGCATAAAACTGAGGTGAATGCGGATGACGAACTACGTGTGCGAATTTAGCAATCTTCTGCATTCATTTGGGAAAGCACTGATGCTTGGCTACGTCGGGCACATACTATACATGTCTCAGACAACTTTGAACAATGCTTTCTAACAAGAAAAGTCCCAACTTTCAGGATGCCCATATGAAATAGGTAAGTATGTTGATGCATATACTAAATGTTAAGTATATCAACAGGTAAGTATTGTATTCTTTTGTCGAACGCGCGATCGATTGGCAGATCCGTAACTAATCAGAGGTTATACCGTTAGTTAATCACCACCGATTCACCGGCTAGATGCAACGACATCACTGCACCATGTCTGCTCACGCGCAGTGCTATGGCGTCGCTTGGTTGGCTGTAGAGGGCGGTGTGGTTATAATATGTACAGGGTGATGTCTGTCGGGGTGCACAACAAACTATTTACATCCATTTTTCAATAATGATTCATTGACATAGAACTCGTTTAAATATCCTTTATTTTCCGCGTGCGTGGCGATCGATATAGTCCCCTCCCCATTATTCAAATTGCTGTTGGTAATTAGGACTCATATATTTCAAAGAACTCATTTTTTAATCTTACTTACAATGTGAGTTGCCACTGTATGCTTGCGAACTTGGTCAACTGGTACTAATTTTCGTAACAGGACTACTATGCAACTATAATTGATAATATTATAGAAGTTATTGCACGAGAGCTAAGTAAAGAATATCGAGATCAAAAATTAGCTTTAACCCATTGCGGCCTGTGTCGGTTGGTCCTCTGGGATGACCACCAATTCAGAATCTCTTTACTTGTATCCTGATGATATGCTGACGTTGCTACGATAATTACTGGTAGCCTATGGCTTTTTATCGGTAATAATATGATAACTAAAAAAATATCTCAACTAGTGAGAACAGCAGGTATAGTGACTTGCACTGTGTATCAAGGACGTGGGTTTTGGCATCAGCTTGGTCCAGGCTTGATCTCAGGTAGATAACGAAGCAAGCATAGCAACGGTCCTCTATCCGATGTATGGGGTCTATCGAAATAAGACAGCAGAAAGCGCCATCTATTACCAGAATCGACCACTGCAAGAGTGAATAACCATCGGGTGGAACTGTAAAGATATCAGTTCGCATTTGATAACCCAGTCACCACTATGACCGCTAGAGGCTGACGATTCTGACGGTATAGTACAAATAGTCAACTCGCCATCGTTGCTATGCTTTAGTTCGTTGTCCACCTGAGGCCAAGCTTAGGCCATGCTGATGAGTTGGCAAAAGCACAAAACAGCTGTCCAGAAAAGCAGCGGGTTTAGTTGTTCAGTGGAGAGTAGACCACTTGCTGTGTCTGACACATGTGATTTGCCAAATCAGGGGATAGGGAGTCAAGTTACAGCTCGAATATATTCATTATGCAGGTATCATCAAAACAGTCTTGTCATTTATCAACTTATGAGAGTTGACTGTGTAATAGAGGTGGTAACGTGTTGTATGACATTTTCAATATAATTAACATGAATTCAATATACTATAACATACAAATAAGTACATAATATGAATTCAATATACTATAACATACAAATAAGTAGATACGTTTGACTGCAAAAGGTTAAAGCTTTAAAAGTGCATGTAGATTTGATCGATGTTATTCTAGATAAACTTTGATTACACACTCTATAGCAAACTTACTAACTCCTAGATTTTTAAAACTTGAAGCATCTGCTAAAGCTGTGAACTATACAACACCTGCACTGCACCTTCCTGACCTACCTGATATCACTCCACTCGACTTGGAACGAATCTGATAGCGATTACTGGTAACAAACGATGAACAACACTCAGACGGTGGTCCTTCGACAGCAGCAGCAGATTCACACCAGCACATTTACGTTCAAACTTGACACACAAGAATTATAAATACAACATCATCATCATCACAGATTCCTGTCAACATCGAAGGTGGCTGCGGCGACTGAATAGTGGAAAAGCGTCGCGGGCGGCATCGCAATCGACGTCGCGACGGCGCCGAGCGTCGGATCAAAACTGGCGCGAGGATCGCGGGAAGCGGCAAAAATACGGCAAATTGGAGGACGCAGTGGCAGTACAGCACGTTTTGGTATACGGTGGCGCTCTCCACCGTGACGAAATGCAGTAGAGTCTCACACTTCGGGCGGAATGGACGGTGGATAGAGGAAAGTGTCCAAAATGGGTTTCCCATTGTTATTTCTCAAAAAAAGACTCAACTTCCTATTATTATTGTTTCCCATTATCCTTTTTTAAATTTGAAAGGGATTTCACGATTAAAACCAAAAACCTTTTCATCCAATGAGATTTCGATAAAGTAAGTAAATGGAGTCAGTTCAGATCTTGCTGTTTAGTCATGCCATAAGTTCTGTCCCTCGTTTTCAAACAAGTGTAGACCTGTTAATACTTGTCCGATTGTTTACATTGTGGTGTCAGTTGATTAAGCGCTTTTCGGGTAATTACATATACCTCAGTTTGTATTGATCTCTCGAAGCATAACGATGGAGTGGGGCAAGGCAGAGAACCGTATTGCAGTGATAGCTTTACATAAGTGTAATCACAGTGCTAGTCAGATTTTTGAACTCTTACGCGGCCTTCAAATATCGCGTAAATTTGTGTCTAGGACCATTCAGCGGTACAATGAGACGTCCTCTGTTGATGACAGGCCAAGAAGCGGAAGACCTCGTCAAGTAAGGACTCCAGCAGCCATCAAAGCCGTAAAAGCCATGATTCAAAGGAATCCACTCCGGAAGAAGAAGATCCTATCCAGGGAAATGAAGATTCCTGTCCGGACGATGTCGCGCATCATTAAACAAGACCTAGGGCTAGGGGCTTACCGGAGACGTACGGGCCAGCGACTTACGGCCACCTTGCGACACATCAGGGCGACAAGATCCAAGAAGCTCTTGGAGAGGTACGCAGCTGGGGGATTCCGAAAGATTTTGTTCACGGATGAGAAAATCTTCACCATAGAAGAAAAATTCAACCGACAAAATGACAAAGTGTATGCAAGGAGTTCACAGGAAGCTTCGGAGATCATTCCGAGAGTTGAGAGAGGCCACCACCCTGCGTCAGTCATGGTTTGGTGGGGGGTGTCCTACGAAGGGGTCACTCAGCTCCATTTCTGTAAACAGGGCGTGAAAACAAAAGCGGCAAACTATCAGAGCGACATACTGGATCCTATCGTCAAGCCTTTAAGTGGTACATTGTTTGCCAACCAACACTGGGTCTACCAGCAGGATTCCGTCCCCGCTCACAAGGCTAAGAGTACGCAGCGCTGGCTGGAAAGCAATGTGCCAGAGTTCATTGCTGCGGAAGATTGGCCCTCAGGGAGTCCGGACCTCAATCCTTTAGACTACAAGTTGTGGGACCTGCTAGAGCAGTTGGCCTGCTCCAAAGCCCACCGTAATATCGAGTCCCTGAAAGCGGATTTGATCCGATCAGCGGCAGCTATTCCTTTGGAAGCTGTGCGTGCAGTGATAGATGAGTGGCCCGCGAGATTGAAGCAGTGTGTGAAGGCCAAGGGGGGACATTTTGAATAAAACTGTTTGATTATGAATTCTAAAAATGTTGTCGAATAAATAATATCTTTCATATAAATATATCTTATCTTGTTTCATTTTTATCATGAGATTATCATGGGACAGAACTTATGGCACGACTACGTACCTACCGTGACATAGTGCACCGGAGAGTCTCACATTTCGGGTGGAATGGGTGATCGATAGAGGAAAGTATCCAAAATGGGTCCACTCAACTTCATTTTAATAATGTTTCCCACTATCCTTTCCATATTTAGAGAGGGATTTCAAAATACTCAATAATTTCTCATACAAAGACAAAATTATAATACAACCTCCGCGCTTCTCGATTTGCAAGAGAATAGTAAGTTTAGCAGCCTTGGGGCTACAATTCCTTCAGGCGTGCCTCAGGGTTCTGTGTTAGGACCGTTATTATTTCTGATATATACTTTTGACTTGAACAAAATCCTTGATAATTTAAATATCCAATCTTTCGCAAAATGTCGGAAATACTTTAGAAGTTAGAAAATTATGTCAATAATCTAATCCAATATTTGTCTGATCGTAATCAGGCTGTCAAACCTCAAACGTCTAAAATGTTATTGTTTTGTGCCCAGAAAAAGAAGGATTACAACGTCAAGGTACAAAAATTCTTTGTGTTGTTTTTGACACAAAATTAAGATTTATCGAACATGTATTTCGCTGAAAGGCTTTTGAATTTCATACACAAGTAGGAATATGTTAAGCTTCTAGACTGTGATATAGGGCTATTGAATGACTTGCGCAGCAAATTCTATTGTGATTATCGTACAAAGTAGTGACGTAATTTCTACGGGCTTCGTAATATTGATCAAAATTAGGCCTAAATTTTTAAGATGAAAATCTGGGCTTATCTGCTTCAAATCTTCCACAAATCCTACACTTCGACATAATTACACTAATGTGTGTTATTTTCTATCGGTAATGTCGGAGTAAAAAAGAATTATTTGATTTTCAACAGGGGACTACATATTCATCTTGGTATTATCTGCAGGTGCTATTCAGCAATTTAGCAAAACTCTGAAATGAAATATGAGCAGAGTCTAATGCTTCAGTCAAAGAAAGAGTTTGTACCAGATCTACACCATCTGTTTGAAAAGTTGATAAAACCTTTGCCACGAATATTCATGCGTTGCTGGTCTTGAAGAAGAAAAATAGTGGTTATTGCATTTAACCTAAAAAGATGACAGTAGGAACTTAGGCCCGTATCGTCAGTCGTCCCTACAATTGTAGGGCGCGTTTATGGCCTCCTTAATTGTCATACGCCTTTCTCTCCTTCAAAAATTTCTAGATTACACTTGTCCCGTGTCAGCGTCAGCGCTCTCCTATTGTGGAGATATGTTTTCTTTTTAAATTGTAGGAAATTTCAGGCTGATAAAACATTACATAACTCAAAAGCAAGCACAATTTGATGCAAATAGATGTTTGTGACATAACCTCAAAATAGAGTTCTGACACGGAGAAGTAGAAAACTATGACAATCAAGGAGGCCATAAAGGCGCCCTACAATTGTAGCGACGACTGACGATACGGGTCTTAGGTTATAGCGAAGTTATATATTAAACAACAAATCTATGCCGATCACACCATTTTTGTCCTATAAGAGTTATAATATCGTTGCAGCCTTCAACAGTTACTAAGCGACAGTTGTATAAATGCTTCCATTTGGAAATAACTCTTTGGCTAAATTAGTAATTTTGTAGAAAAAGGAACAAGGCTCTGGTGTGTTATATACATGTTATCATGGATACCACAACACATCCATTCTGGCTACCGAGTCACTATGCCGTATAAAATTCTTGTATAAACGTTTGTGCAACAGTTCTAAACTTATCCTATAAGGTGCTGTATACCTAAGTATGCTACAAGAATGTTGTATACACCTCATGTTAGAGCAAATATGCTGCAGCAAGCAAATTTGCATTTCACACCACATTAAGCCAGCATTTTGTTGATCGGGCAACAACAAAAGAGAGCTTTTACGGCTTAACAGTTCTTTTACCAAAAATGTATAGCACCACTTTGCTAGTTAGGTAAAACCTTGCCATTTAAGAAAATTTATACATATAAATAGATGTTGACAAATAGGAATGAAGTCATGAAAATTACACAAAATTGAAACCACATTTTTTTCTTTTCAAAATACTTGCTGGTCAGGTCTCCGAGAAAATTCAACTTCACATTAGTTGTTTTCAAGAAGTATCTCAAGCTGAGGTTATTTGGGTCTTTGTTTTAAGTAAAAACTAATTTATGAGACATTAAGTAAGTTTTCGTGGTTAAATTATTACCATTCACGTAGCTTTGAGACGCTCTGTATTTCACTTACTGTTGAAAACTAACTTTATCGTAGTACAAGCTGTCACTGCTGCGATAGGCACATTATTTTAAAGGCTGTCAACTGTTACTGTTGAAAATTTCGAACTGTAACCATAGTTTGGAATTTGTTTTCTTTAAAATTAGACATAAAAGTCAAATACAGCTTCAAAGATGCGTGAAATAGTACATATTCAGGCGGGTCAGTGCGGCAATCAGATTGGTGCCAAGTTTTGGGAAGTGATATCAGATGAACATGGAATCGATCCTACAGGAACGTACCACGGAGACTCTGATTTACAATTAGAGAGAATCAACGTGTATTACAATGAAGCGACAGGAGGAAAATACGTTCCCAGGGCAGTTTTGGTCGATTTGGAACCAGGCACGATGGACTCGGTCAGATCCGGCCCTTTTGGACAGATTTTCAGACCAGATAATTTTGTATTCGGCCAGAGCGGCGCAGGAAACAATTGGGCAAAAGGACACTATACCGAGGGTGCAGAACTAGTAGATTCAGTACTGGATGTCGTAAGGAAAGAGGCAGAAGGATGCGACTGTATGCAAGGATTTCAGCTGACGCATTCCCTAGGCGGAGGAACAGGATCAGGTTTAGGTACGCTACTTATTTCGAAAATTCGTGAAGAGTATCCGGATAGAATAATGAACACATTCTCAGTCGTACCATCTCCCAAGGTATCAGACACAGTAGTAGAACCGTACAATGCGACATTATCCGTGCATCAGCTAGTAGAGAACACAGACGAAACCTACTGCATCGACAACGAAGCACTCTACGATATTTGCTTTAGAACGCTGAAACTGACTACGCCTACTTATGGAGATCTGAATCACTTGGTGTCGGCGACAATGTCCGGAGTAACCACGTGCCTCAGGTTCCCCGGACAGTTGAACTCCGATTTGAGAAAACTAGCTGTCAACATGGTGCCTTTCCCCCGTCTGCACTTTTTCATGCCAGGCTTCGCCCCGTTGACATCCAGAGGCAGCCAACAATACAGAGCTCTGACGGTACCCGAGCTGGTACTGCAAATGTTCGATGCTAAGAATATGATGGCCGCTTGCGATCCCAGGCACGGAAGATACTTGACGGTGGCCGCCATCTTCAGGGGGCGCATGTCCATGAAGGAGGTCGACGAACAGATGCTGAACATTCAGAACAAGAACAGCAGCTATTTCGTAGAATGGATCCCGAACAACGTAAAGACTGCCGTGTGCGACATTCCGCCGCGCGGCCTCAAAATGTCCTCGACTTTCATAGGAAACTCCACATGCATCCAGGAGTTGTTCAAGAGGATATCCGAGCAATTCACGGCCATGTTCAGAAGGAAAGCGTTCTTACATTGGTACACCGGCGAAGGCATGGACGAGATGGAGTTCACAGAGGCTGAGTCGAACATGAACGATCTGGTGTCGGAGTACCAACAGTATCAGGACGCGACCGCAGAAGAGGAGGGCGAATTTGACGAGGAGGAAGAGGGAGACGAAGGGGAAAACTGATCCAGACTGATCGATGCCTAGCGTCAACAACTTATTTTGACTCTAAGCTCCATTCAACTCAAAAATTTGTCTATTATAGAGGGTACTTCCCGCGAGTATATACCGTTTTCCGATTTGAAATAAATATCTTTAAAAATAACCGAGTTGTATTTTTGATGACAATTTATTTTTTTTTTTGTGCAGAGGGAAACATGATGGTCTTCATATATATTTTCTTGATCTTTGTCCGCTGTTCACGGCGACTGCGACTCCTACTGATCTAATCATATTAGACGAAAATATCCCTGGTTTGCGAAATAATTGAAAGTCTGGTTTTATTGCTGCAAGCTGTCCAAGGGGGTATTCAAAATATGGACGCATAAAATGGGTACACCATTTTTTGTAGGAAAACTTTTTATTCGACAACAAGGAATGAGAAAACACGTTTTTTGGGATTCAATCGAAAGTGTTGGAAGGAATGAAAAAACTATATAAGATTTTTATGTATTTATGAGACCTACAAAATGAGATCAGACGTGAAAAGATCCGACTAATAGCAAAAAAGTTATGGCCGAAAATCGAGGCACTACCAACACGTGACAAAACCTGCATTTTGCCTCGTTTTTCGGCCATAACGCTTTTGCTATTAGTCGTATCTTTTTACGTGTGATATCATTTTGTAGCTCTCAGAAATACCTAAAAATCTTATATATATACGATGTGTTTGGTCACGACATACATAGTTAAGGCGGTTATTTTTCAGCTATTTTTAGCGACAAATCCACCTCCCTATAATATCCTACCTCACCTCCTTGAAATGACAGCCATTTTTATTTTTACGTTACAATTACGCTAGTGCATGTATGAAAATTGTAATAAATGAAAACGTAAGAGTCACAGAATGATAAATTTGGTGTCATTTGAACGATAGCGATTATTGAAAAAATTGTATTGATACTAACCGTCAAACATAGTTAAAAACCGACCAAAACAGAAAAAAGTATGCAAGAAAATCGATTTTTTGGGCATTTCCGCAAACCATTCAAAAACTAGTTTTTGAAGTTGTGCTTTTTTGTGCCTACAGCTAACTGTGTTATATACATAATGACATCAAATTTGTTACCCTATGTTAGTTATTCTAAGTACAAATGTTGGTTAAACGTGACCCTTGCGCATGCCGTCCCGATGCAGGTAGCGAACCACACCCCACATTCCTGGGATAGAGATGAATGTATTGAGAGTGCGAGTGAGACAACAGCTACCGAAAGGTCTCGTTATCGAGATGGTAACAACCGGTTATTTGTTGTCAATGTCATAGTGCGTGTTTTGTAGTCCCTTGCCACGTGTTATCACCACACGTTCAATTTGTTACCCTTGCTGACTAGCTTGAATATCAATTTTCTGAAAGGATTTGAGATGCCAAACGTCCACGTCATGAATTTTCAAATCACTACGTTGCTGATATGGGGTTTGTTTACGGCTTTTGCAATGGAAATGCCGCAGGTGCTATGAGAGAATATCGAAGACGGTTTCCTGACCCAATTATGTCAAATGGTCGAACTTTTGTCTTTACATACGCGTGACTGGCGGAAAATGGGATTCAAAGACCAGTAAACAACCGTTATCGGCTACTATCTCCACAAGATGAAGGAGAGATTCTCGACATGACTGCCCGAGATCCGAGAGTTAGTGTGAGGGGATCGCTGCAAGACTTCACTTGTCACATTGGTCGGTTCGGAGAGTCCTTAAGAGAGAAGGTTTACATGCTTACCATTTTCGGAGAGTTCAGGATCTTCATCAGCCAGATTATGCAGCAAAAATCATATTTACTCCTGAATCCAACGACAGCTGCGACAGGACTGCAACTTTTGGGAAAAAATTCTGTGGACGGACGAAGCAAAATTTACGAGGCAGGGGATCATAAACCATATAAACAACCACTTGCGGTCTTCGGAAAACGCTCATGCAGTTCGACTGAGCACTTTCCAAAATGAATTTAATGTAATGATCGATGGAGTTTTAGTCGGCCCAGTTGAGCTACCTCCAAGGTTAGATGGCCAGGGATTTTTTTTCAACCGCCGCTACATGTGGTTGGAGCTCCCACACATTTTGCGCGAATGGTACGAGAACATTTGGATAGGCAACCTTCTCCATGGATAGGACGTGGAGGTACTGTACCTTGGCCACCCCGATCACGCGATTTAACGCCCCTAGATTATTTCTTCTGGGGTACAATGAAGCAAAAAGTCTACTGTCATATGTCGACGACACGGGAAGAGCTCGTGGAAAGGATCCATACTACTGCGAACGAAATAAGAGCTGACACTGATATGGACCCCTGCTCATCACGACACATTGTTTTCAGAACAACAATGTGCATAACCAATAATGGAGGACATTTTGAACAGCTCCTGTAACATTAAACATGTCCAAACTATTTATAAGAAACATTTTTTGTCATTTTTATGTATACTAAGTGACATATAAATCCGAACACCCAGTTTAAATGGTTTTATTTTAATAAAAGTTGGTGAATGTATTCATAAAAAAAGCGTACACGAATTAGAATGAGAGGAAACCTTAACCTTATTTGCGTAAAACCGGCTTATCGCATGTTAAAGGTTATTAAAAATGCAAAGCATGGGCGTCGGGCATTAGTTCAATACAGTAACAAAAATGTATTTCTTTATTTTACATCTTAACAGTTTTATAAAAATTACAATAGAAACAAAAAACGATTAACAAGAATAAATAAAATCTAATATTTGCTCATATATCCCTGTTTTTCTATTACTTGAGCCAGTCTATTCGGAATTGACTGAATTATATTTGATACAATATTTGGATCAAGCTCTTCCCAGCACGCATGTATTATTTCCCATAAATCTTCTGAATTTTGTGGCCTAAAATTTCGATTATATATTTTTTTTACGATTATACCCCAAATATTTTCGATTGGATTGATATCGGGACTATAAGCGACCCAAGGCAGCACTTCCACATTATGGGTTTGAAACCAGTGGGTTACAGCATTGGCCGTATGAACTGGACAATTATCTTGTTGAAATATGAACGTATTATTGGGATATATTTGCTCAGCACTTGGTAACAATATGTTTTCTAAAATGTTAATGTAATTTCCGGCATTAAATCTTCCCTCTATTCGCCAGCAAACACTAGGTCCATGAACACTTATCCAGCCCCATACATTTACAGAGAAACGCCCAGGTCTAGAATTGAGGGGGTTAGTATATCGCTCTTCAAACCTGGTATTGTTTGGACGGTAAACACGAATTTGGCCGTTATAAGTCGACTGGAACGTCTTTTCATCAGTAAAAATGACCCTGTTCCAAAATTGAGGATTGCGGTATATATATATAATAATAATAATTTAAAGCAAAAATAATCCTTGATTTTCGCCGTTCTTCGTTAAGAAACATTTTTTTCGCAGCAGGGTGACATTTTAGTTCAGATTTCATTACTCTCCTGCTGGCGGTAGGTTGGGAGGCAGGAAATGCTGTATCAATAACAGCATCCCTTACAGTTGCAAATGGATTATTTCTTAAATATCCCAAAAAAAAACAGCATCCTGTTCAGGGTTGGTAAGTTTGGGACGACCTGAACCAATTTTCCTCTTTAGGGAATCTTCCTGTTCCCAGCGTTGCTTAATTTTCAATATGGTTATTTTATTTCTATTATACAACTGCGCTACAGCACGGATTGACCATCCTTCTTCGATTCTTGATACAATTTGAGCCTTTTCAACTTCAGACAACTGACGAGGTATTTTTATTTTCTTCTGTCAAAGTTTATCAAACGTTACCACCACGCATTTTCGAAATGAATTACACCGACGTCAATGCTTTGCATTTTTGACAATCTACGACGTGTGATAACCTCCAATAAACAATCATTTAGACAAGCCGGTTTTACGCAAATAAGGTTAAGGTTTTCTCTCATTCTAATTCGTGTACGCTTTTTTTATGAATAGAACTGTATTTATCTTACTGTAAATAACAAGTGAAAAAATGTTCAGCCTTATCAGTTGGACATTCCGGTTTTTATACTGCTTTTTTTTAATTCACTAACGCTCTAAAAATGAATATTTCAGCCGCAGTAAAGAATCAACGTTGGCGGATTTTGGTTCTTGACATCCTTTACGATCGGTTACGATGCCTAGAGTACGGAGACCTGTACGATTTCGTCAACTTAGTGAGTTTGATAGGGGCCATATAGTGGGACTTCGGGAAGCTGGACTTTCTTTTCGGGCAATTGCAGTTAGAGTGCAAAGAAGTGTAGACACTGGTGGTTAGGTGTTGTCAGGCATGGCTTCGAGAAGGCCGTACGCAAAGAGCAAGGGGCACTGGACGCCGCCGTAGAACAACAGACCGTGAAGATCGCCGCCTAAGATTATTGGCCTTAAGGGACCGTTTGTCCACTACCAGGTCCATTGCAAATGAATGGTTTGCAGAACACGGAAGACCTATCGGCATGCGAAGTGTTTACCGACGAATGAGAAGTTTTGGCTTGTTTTCATACCGGCCACACTGGGTCCTCCCTTTAACTCGAGAACACCGACGTAATCGCCTTGAGTGGTGCAGACAACGGTCACTCTGGGATCAGGAACGGAACAGTATTGTCTTCAGTGACGAGTCTCGATTTTGTTTAGGCATGCACGATGGTCGTGTCAGGGTTAGAAGGCGACGTGGTGAAAAGAGGAATCCACAGTTTTTTGTTGAAAGACATTTTCATCACACTGTTGGAGTTATGGTTTGGGGTGCTATAGCTTATGGTTCCAGGTCACCTTTAATCTTCATCAGAGGTAACATGAACGCGCAGCGTTATATACACGAAGTTCTAGAACCCCATCTTTTACCCTATCTTGACACCCTGGCAGATCCAACTTTCCAACAAGATAATGCCCGACCACATGTTGCAAGAGTCACAATAGACTTCTTTCAACATAATGATGTCACATTGTTACCGTGGCCACCAAGATCTCCCGACTTATCCCCAATTGGGCACGTGTGGGATATGATGGGTAGGAGATTGCTCAATTTGCAACGTCCTCCTCAGACTCTAGAAGCACTTTGAGAGGAGTTGGTGGTTGCCTGGAATGAGATACCACAGGAGGACATTGACCACCTGATCATAAGCATG